GAAAAGCCGAAGCAGATACGTCTGAAACAAATAAATTTTATTTAAGAATTTATTTAGACATTAATATTTACTTTAAATAAACATAAAAGAATTGTATAAAACCATAGAAATTGAGTTATTGGACCAATTAATTATCTATAGTTCTAACAACATAAGACATACATCTATCAATTAAATAATATATAAATACTAATTATAATATTATATAAATATACATATGAAAATATAATTTTGTTCAAATATAACACTTTTTATGAAATAATTATTAAAGTAAATGGTGTTATAAAATTTATAAAAAATAAATAAATAAATAAAAAGACGATGACATGTGGGACCAAAACGGCAACAATTCGAATATGATGCTTACGTGGCAAAAATCTGTGTCGTGGAATGATATTTTAGTCACGCGCCTGGAAAGAGCGTGGAATCAGGGACAAAGACACATGAAGCCAGAGGGCGCGCAATTCAAGGACAGCCCCCTTCGCTTGGATTCCCATAATTCTCACTCTGTACTTACAATCAGTCAAACACGAAACAGAAACATTTTGACTTTTTCTTTTTCTCCATGCCGGTGCGTAATGCACATTAAGCGTATGTTAGCAATAAGGAATTGGTAAGATGAGATATATACATATATATATATATATATATATATATTTTTTTACACCACACCCCTAATTAAGAAAAATGAAATGGTTAAAAGATTCATTTGATTATTTTTTAAGGGGGTAAAAAAAAGGTCTAAAGGAATTCATCCTCCAAGCTGAAGCTAATTTTGAACCAAAGCATATTAACCCTCTCAAAATCGCATGATTCCCTGTAATTGTATCATATCTAATCTTTGCTATCATCTACTGATAGTTTCTATAGTAAACTATAAATTCTAATGAAAACTAATATATTAAAACTGTTGTTCATCTGAATTTCCATCTGACCTTCAATCCATTTCCTATCATCACTCGTTCCACAAAGCAAATATAGGAACCTGAGGAGCCAAAGCCAATCTTCCCGGTCCATTCTCACCATCATCGTTGCTATCATTTCTCTTTTCGTATTTCAGGTTCTGTGACGAGAAGTAACTACTCCGAGAGTAATCTTCCCCGCCTCCAATGCCATACTCACTAGCAATTCGAACACAACATTTTGGGCTATGTGGGCTTGATGAACTCGACTGGTCGGTGCTCCGAACAGCTATCAAAGGTGCACCATTATCAGCGCCACCACTTTGTTGCTGTTGATGATTATCATCTCTATCAGTGTTCCACACCAAATTGGCCAATTCATCTGGACCGCCGCTTGAGATGGCCAAAAGGGGCTGATGAGAAGCTGATGAAGTACAAGAATTATAGTCCTCGATGGCCGTTGGAGCTGTGTCTTTTGGTGAACGTTTAGCAAGATCACTCGCGATAAGCGTAGAACTCGAACATATTCTTTTTACGTCGTACCTACTTATATCAAAATTGGTCACTGCACTTGTTCCCCTAAATTTAATGGCTGCAATGTCATAGGCTTCTGCAGCTTCTTCTTGTGTGCCTACACATAGAAAAGTGTCTCAATTAACCCATTATATTTATTAAAAATCTTTTGATTAATTAAACTTATTACCAAGTCATGAGAATAAAGTGGGTCTTAATTAGGTGTTTATGCAATATAATGAGGGGAATTTATCTTGCATAACTACTGGTATATATTGATTTATCATCATATTTCTATTAATACATAGATTAAGGCATTGATAGAAACTTACTGTTAATCAGCATATATCCGCTATATAAAATAATTTTTAATAAAGATATAGATGAGGTGAAGCTTACTGAAGGTTCCTAGGTACAAATCCTTGTTTCCTGCAACCCTTCCTATTCTGGCTTGCCACCTTCCATGCTGATGATGCCTGCAAGCGGCGAAGAAAAAAGGAACTTGACATTACATGAAAGGAAAATGGAAAATACTTATATATATATATATAGCTTTTAAGCTAACGACATACTAATTTAGCATACACAGTGGATATGTATCATAAACATAAGATATATGTTTGCCTATAATTGTATCGGACAATGGAAAAGGCTGCAAAATGCAGTAAATAACGGGAAAACTTTATCATTTTTTTTAGTCGTCGCTTTCTGCCATTTTACCTTGTCACACCACGGTACATTGAAGCTCCTCTTGAAAATCCACTGCTTTTCCTGTAAAAAATATTAATATCATCAATATATACATATATATATGCCTTCCACATATAAAGTAACCATTTTTCCTCTTGAATCTGTTTGAACTTTGAAGAAGAACATGGTTTTAAGGAGATGGACAAACCTTCTCAACATGGCAACAAATTCTTGTCTGGACATATGTTTCATTTCTTCAAGCTCCTTCTCGTAAGTACTCAACTATATAATTAAATTTAAGTAATAAATACCAGGTGGATAAGTCATTAATTTATGATTAGAAACATTTTCCATCCACAAAAGAAAGAATAAGAAAATAAAACTTACAGGGAAATTTATATGAGTTGTTGGACCCCAATACTTCAAGGCAGCTAAATCATAAGCTCTTGCTGCTTTCTCTTCCTTATCATAACCACCTAATTATATAGATCATATATATATATATATGAATATATATACGTATATTTACACAAAGGATGAAGGAGAAAAAAGCATGCACATGACCCGATGCTCCCTCTTAATTAATAATTTTCTTCTCTCCCAAAGAACAACTCAAAAAGTAGTCACTGTTTTAAAATCCACAAAAATATATAACATTTTCATTTGAGCATGCAAAAGAGAACTTGATGGTGGAGGAGTTTCACTTACCAAGATAAACTGTAGAGGATTGAAGCAGTTAAAGGAGAAAGAGCCCAAAAAGCACAAACAAAATATTATCATCAGTTCATATATATCTGTATATATATACTTTTCACAGGCTGAAAAGATCAAAATGAAATTATATGAACTAAAATTCAAATCTGAATTATTAGTGGGTTCTTCTTCTTACGTACCTTGCCTTCCTTTCCTTGTTTGCCCTTCTTTTCTACAGCTATTATCCCACAAATGGGCCTCGTATCTTCCTGTCCATCTATGCCTAACATGTTAAACCCAAAAAAAGTATATTTACTTTTGAACAAAGTTATTAACTTTTAATGCTGTTGGATTAAAATAATAACGAAAATTTTGAAAATACCTTGTAACTCCACGATATTGAGAAGTTCTTTGCCCAAAAGTATCAATAGATTTGCGAGGAACCGGTTCTCTAGCAATGGCGGGTCGTTTACGGGTATCATCCCGTGCAATTGCAGGGCTTGTAGGGTTCATGGTGAGAGACAGTGACTGAAAGTTACAGACATTATCAACCTCGCCTGAAGATTTCTCACCAGAAAATGGAGTTTGCCTTAGCCAAGACTTTAAACCAGAAACTGTACTTGCTCTTTCAAAAGCCAAATGGTACGACGTTGTACCACTGTTAGGGCTTGGGACGTCCAATGAATTGCTCTGTGCTTCAAGGTTGTGATGATCAGTAGTGGCGATTAGGGTTTGTGGAGCTTGATTGTAAGTAGTGTAAGCTTGATATACTGAGGAAGGTTCGGTGATATTATCGTTATCTCCTGTCTCAGTTGTGTTAAAGCTTGGTGGTATATTAACATTGATTCTGCTCAGGGTTTGATCTTCTTCGGTTTGGCAATAGACTTTGGAATCATCAGACGGCGAGTTAGAGTAGCAGCAGCCTAAGAAATCTTCAAGCTTTGGACTTTCTTCACTTTCGCCCACCCCATTTTCATATCTCCATTCTATTAACATTCAACAAAGCTTACACTATATATATACATATGTGTATATATATGCACACACACGCACATGCATGTTGCATATACCAGGAATGGAAGCTAAGGTAGAAAAGCGTACCTTGAGGAGCAGCAGAAAGAGAAGAGCGTCTGAAAGGGTCAACAACACAGAGAGAACCATCGGAGCGCAAAGGCATAACAGACAAGTGAGGATGATGATGAGTAAACCCTCCATGCTCATCTCTATCAAGCCCTTGATCAATTCTCAGGTGGGGAGTCAGAGAGAAACCCAACCAATTACTCATCTTCTCTTTTTGAGAAAATTTTTATAAAAAATCAAAGAAATATCTTCTTCTACACCCTTGTCTAGAAAACACAACCTCACACAACTCCCAGACTTAACAGTGTTACATAAACCTCTCTCTCTCTCTCTCTGAAAATTTGCGTGTGGGGTTCTCTCTCTCACTGTGGCGCACTGGATTTTAAAGCTCAAATTTCAAAAAATATATATTTTTAATAACACCAAAACCTCGCTCGCTCGTCTCTTTTATGTCCTGAGGCTACGTTAGAGTAATGACGAATATTTCAATCTGTTTTCTAATAATTCTTGCGTTGAATTTCGTGCCACTTGTTTCATTTTCTTTTTCTTCTTCTCTCTTTTGTTGTTGCAGAGGGTAGCCACGCATTATCATTAATGTGGACATGACAAATTCAGTATATGATGGAGCTGTGAGTTGGTGTTTTTCAGGTATACCTATGAATTCTGAATTAACGGTATTGGGTTTATTCGCAAAAGTCTGGCGAAGTTTTTCTCGAGTCTTATTGGTCCACGTACGCATGCACATCGGAGTTATTGTCTTGGCTATTGTAGACTCCAAAAATCCCACATCGGTGGATTTTTAGGGGTATAATTGTAAATTAATATTGGCATTTAGAAGTAAGTCCCCTGGATCACAAAATAGAGAATGGAAGCTGAAGCTGGGCCATACACAAACATCTAACAAGTATTCGGAGAGAATATTTGTTACGAAGCCCAAATTTACATAAAAAAAATATTTTTATTATTTTAAAAAATAAAATGTGTTTCATTTATTTGCATATTTACCGAAAATACTCAGTTAAAAAATTTGTCAAAATATTTAATTTTTAATTAATAAATACTAATTTTGTGATTATTAAATTCTCAAGGTGGCTAAGTTGAAGGGTAAATTAACCAAACCACCTGTCAAATCTACCTTCTCTTCAACATTTGGGGAATGGATTCTTTCAGCTTTTTTTAAAGGTAGTTCTTTGGTGGCTTCTTTCATCATCATTGTTATTATTATTATTATTTTTCATAAAAAAATTAGATGAAATATATTATAAATTAACAAGTATAATTTTAAACAATAAATTCATGAGTTATCTTAAAAATTTTAAATAATATTAAACATCTTAATTATTTTATCATTATATTAGTGATGTGCTAATTTTTAACTAATCCTACCAATTTGAATTAATTATCATCGTTATGGGCACTACTAGAGGATATATGTCTAATGCATGGTCACCCTTCAAGGTAGCATTCACCTGCCTTGTTTCCATACCAATACACTATACGTATATATTGGTAGATATAATCTACAAGAATTGGAAGATGAGATGAGTGGCATACATAGTTTATATGATCATGCATTTGATATACTTAAGATATTAGTGATTGATACGAGTCAATATGTTTCAAAATATTAATAATTAAAGTGGATAAAATATTACTAAAATTTAATATACATATATATATATATATATATATACACATACATACTTAGCTTAAAGAATAACTATATATTAAATCATAGTCGACATATAAATATATATATATATATATATATATCAAATATTGCAATCATTCTCTTTACCACCCACTGAGTCATTGACAATAAAAGCCAATGATTATTGCTTGCATATCTCACAGTTAATATATAATTTTATTAAACTTCAAAAAACTTATGATCATAAAGGTTTTGAATTGCATTATCAGCCATCATATTTATCATTCAGAGAGCATTAAGTTAAAAAGAAACCCAACTATGTATAATGCCATCGTCATATATAATATTATATGCACATCATTCCATATAGCTCTATTATAAATTTATATAATTTTAGTTAAAATTCCACGGGTAAAATCTTCTGCAAATCCACGTCTCTTTCACGTAAGAAACCATTTCTACAATAATAATAATAATAAATTAAAAGTTAGAAACTATTTCTATATTAATCATATTATATATATATATATATATATATACAGAAAGTATGTGATGTAGTTAGGCATATGGATGGATGCATATGCCTGTTTACCCTAAGTGCTTCCATGTGATCCACCGTCTCTCCTCTCATTCAGTGAGGGTGACCCGTACTTTAATAATAAATTAATACAATCATGCCACATTGCACCAATGCATGAATATTCAAAAGTATTATTATTATTATTTATTTTTACCAAAAGTTTTAAGTTAGATTGTCGATATTTCTTTTATTCTATAAAACATTTATACTGTAAATTTCCTAGTGTGTGTGTGTGTGTATATATATATATATTAGCTTCATACTGTTCTTAACATTGGCAATGTAGTTAAAAGTAATAAATAATCTTAACAAATAAAATTAATTTATTGACCATGCGCTAATTATCATTGTTCCTCTTTATTTGCTTTTTCTTTTTATATATAGATTGCAGAAGTGCCTTTTAAAAGACAAAATGGTGTGTATATGTCTATATATGGTGTCTATATATATATATACATCTCTTTTTTCATCTCAACTTATTTGTATGGTTATTTATATAGATCTTCCTTGTTTAATACAAGGAAAACACTTATGCTTAATTAATTATTATATTAATTAATTAGGTAAATACACAAATTAATCATGACATTATACGTATAATTTTTATTAAAAATCACATATGAGAATTTAATTTAATTCAAATTCATAAGATTTAATATAAAAAGAGACATTAGAATTATTAAGTTAACATTAACTCATTTTTTTTTACTATCGCTTTATTATATATATATGTGTGTGTGTGTGTGTGAAAACAAATTCTGAACTTTAAAAAAAAAAAACATGATTATAGATAAAGGGTATATTCAAAAGAAATCATAAGTTACGTAGAAAAAAAGTTAGAATTTTGTTTGTATATTTACGTTTTTCTATTAGAACTATTGTAAAGGATGTCATAAATCCGATGTTAAATTAGACTATATATATAGAGGGAGATATATATATCTTTCCCTTGCCTGTATACCCATGTCCTCTTTCGATTTATCTTGTCTTTCTTTAACTAAAATTAGGCGTAATAACAGTAATTAGGAGTACCAACTTGTAATTAACTTTATATTTGTACAAGTAATTAACTAAAATATACTGTTAGAACTTTGGAAAATTTTACAAGTGTATTATTGATTATTATTCCATGAATGCCGCCATGATCGTGTCCTTTTCAACAGATCACTATCTACAGTAAGAAGCATATATTGTGTATATTTATTGGTGGTAGTTGGGTTTTCTTTTCTTCCACCTCAAGAAGTTTAGATGACATACTAGAGATAGCTCCTATACAAAATCCGCAGAATACATATATTCTGCCACTGTCTCTAGTTACACACTAGATAAAAAAACAAAAGTATACATATACAGCTCGTATATATATATATATAAAATAGATGAGCACATACATGGAAGGGGGAGAAGTGAAGAAGCCAATAGAAACCAAGAAAAGGATGCAGACTCACAGGGATGTTAACAAGGGAGCATGGACAGTAGAGGAAGATGCAAAACTAGCTGAGGTTATTGCAATTCATGGTGCTAAAAGATGGAACACAATTGCTGCCAAAGCAGGTGTATATTAGATATATATATACACAAAAACACACACACACACATATATGATGTGGGTGTTTTGAATCACATTAAAATTCACTTGGTGATAAAAAAGCGTGATGGGTTTTAATTTTGGCATTGTAATATGTTCTTTTTTCAGGTCTTAATCGGTATGGGAAGAGTTGCAGATTAAGGTGGATGAATTATTTAAGACCAAATATTAAGAGAGGCAACATATCAGATCAAGAAGAGGACTTGATACTTAGACTTCATAAACTACTTGGGAACAGGTTATAAAAAATTATTCATATACTACCAGCAGACCGGATTATAATTATATATATGTATATATATACAAAGAACGTATATATGGGTATACCTTGTTATATATTTTCTTAGTATATGTGTATGTGTATGTATATATAGGTGGTCTTTGATTGCTGGAAGACTACCTGGTCGAACAGATAACGAGATAAAAAACTATTGGAATTCTCATTTGAGCAAGAAAATAAAGCAGCAACTGAAAGAGAAAGACAGTGGAGGTAGTTCAGGGAGACTAGGATTTGCTGCTGATCAAAAAAGAAGAGCAAGTAGGGATGATGTGAAGAAGATGGTGGAGGTGAAGAGATCAGAAGAGAACACTAATAGTACAATATGTAATTTTAACATAGAGGAAGAAGAAGAAGATCATTCAATAATGGGCTTTAATATGGATGATTTTTTTGATTTCTCCAACGAAGATCCTCTGAAATTAGAGTGGATCAGCAGATTCGTTCAACTTTGATTCAATACGTACATTACATAATTAATTAATACAACTTTGTTGGTTCTTTAATGTGCTACAGACATTTTGAAATTCTAGTGCCATGACCCACATGATAATACTGTTTTTTAGTCATTGAGCTTTGTCTTTTAACGTAGATGAAAACAGGGGTGCTATGTCCAAGCTTTCATAGTTTTGTACGGTCGGAACATTTTGAGCCAAGGTGATCTTCGATTCTAACCAAAACTGAGTACGATTATAATCGGTAAATAATTGGAAATTGAAATATAAATAATTTGTTATCTTATCTATATTTTTGTATAAAATTTAGTCATAATTCAACTGTAAATCGATGAACACTTCTGACGATAATTTTTATAAATTTTAAAAATTTACTAATATTTTTAAATTTATTTAAAATATAACACAAGATAAATTTATGTTTATTGATATTTAAAGTAAATATGCGGAGAAATACTCAAAATCTAATTGTATGGTATTCTATAAAATGGTTAATTATTAAGCCGTAATTATTTAATTATCAAAAGTAAAAATCATTGAAAAATAAATTTTTAAACTCATAGATTTTCGAGTCTTAATCTTATGTAAATTTAATTTAATTTGTCTTTCTTTTCAATCGCTCTTTTGATTCCACAAATCTAATGATTCCTCCAAGAACACACAAGTCAAGCAAGTTGATTGAAATTCTTCATAAGTTTTGTCATTTAGGAATATGACACTCGGGAAACTAATGAATCATGTGTTCTACATTACTTAGCGGCCAATATGTAATGTCTTTCAATTTTTTATTTTTTATTTTGGACCAAATTTATAAAATTCACCCTGTAATTCAATCGATAAAATACTTAATTTTTTAATTTAAGTAATATGTGAATAATTATTTCGTAATTTATTTAAAATAATATTAAACTCAGATATCTAGTTTTCCGAACTTGCTGCCCTAACATCTATTAAAAATTGTCCTTATAATTCGAAAATTAATTTTACAACGCAAAGATAAAGTCGTAATACATATACACATATGCAAATATATGACATACTCTAGTTTTAAATTTTTCCTATTTGAATCAGGGAGAACCCGTAACTAGAATGCTAGAGTACATATATGGATAAACATATACGCGCATATATATATATTTATGTATATGTATATACGTATATATGCAGAAAGTCTAAACATGCAGATTAGTCAACCCTCTTGAGTCTGGTAAACGTGCAAGCTGGACTTGGTTTAATCCTGGAACCATTCTAACTCAGAGTCGATTAAAGAACACATAATATTTGATGATAGAAATTCCAGGTCAGTCAGAAGGGTATTATTACCAGAGAAGGAGAGGTCTTGATCAGAGACGAAGGTAGTTGGATGGCCATGATCATGATCATGATCATCGCGTCTGCTATTATTGTTTCCATGATCATTGTTGTTTTCCAAGTAATCAGACAGAAGAGGAAACCCATCAGCCGTATTGAGGAATTCTGACAGGAAATTATGGTCTAGCTCGACATCTATCATGAAATTATCCCGATCTGAATTATCAAGTTCAGAACAAAAATTAGGGTTTATAACATTTTCATCGACCTTGGAGGACCCAACAATTTCTGGGTCAGCTGGAGTGTTGACCACAAGCTTTGTTAATCTTGTTGCCTTGGTCCTGATCACCAGCTGACTTGTATCTATGTTAGGTGCCTCATGATTAATAGATGTTTTTGCAGTGGAGAAACTGTTTTGGTTTTTCTGTAACTTTTTTCCGATTTTTGTGTTCCAATAGTTCTTGATTTCATTGTCTGTTCGCCCTGGTAATCTTCCAGCGATTAGTGACCATCTGCATAACTCAGAGATTTTATCAGAATGAGTTAATTTGACATTTCAATCATTCACTGAAGTTTGATTATGATTGATAACCAAATTGTTAATCCATATTATTATTGACATATTAATGGGTTAATTGATAACTAATGATGTGATCCATGCACAATATGAAGATATGTATATATATATATATATATATATGTTTTAAAAAATTTACTAGATTTTGTGGGATTATACATAAGTTGGTAGACCTATAATCGTGATTAGCATATAATCATTAATTACTTTCATTAATTTATACATTAAATTTCAAGAAAACATGAGTCAATTTGGATTTGAGACCTGTTTCCAAGGAGGTTGTGGAGTCTGATAATAAGCTCTTCTTCATCATGAGTGATGTTTCCCCTCTTAATATCAGGTCTTAGGTAATTTAACCACCTTAATCTGCAACTCTTACCACATCTCTTGAGACCTGCAAGAACCAGTGCACGCATACATACATCAATATTTATCCATATCAATTAACATCGATCTAACCATATGTACGTGTATAAATGTTTTAATGTACTTGCATAAACACATAAAGGTGGGAATTCACTATCAAAAGAATCACTGTGTCGCAGAGAGGAAAGTTATTCTAAGTAGACACACACATATATATATATATGTAGATATATATGGGAATTATTAAATTTGATCACCTGCTTTTTTAGGAAGGTTTCTCCAGTTTCCATCACCATGGAGCTTAATGTAGTCTATAAGTATTTTGTCCTCCATTGCTGTCCATGCTCCCCTATTCAAGCCTTCCTTTGAACAACAAGGCTTCCTTCCCATTTTAATTCTTCTTCTTCTTCTTCTTTTTCTTCTTCTTCTTCTTCTTCTTCTTCACTTGTTATCTCAGTTTCTTAGTTGAGGGTCTGAAATGAAATCCTCAGATCTCCCAACACGGTTGAAGACAAGACCGTCAGACGTAGGCATATACGGTTGCTTTATATGTAATATATATTTAGGTGTGCGTGTGTGTGTATATATATATATAGGGCCAACTGTGGCTTACTTGCATTAGATAAATTTGTGTTTGAGGGCCATCGTTGCACGTGTCTCAGGTAACCGACATTTAGTCTGACAACAAAAAATAGAAAATTATTAGATTAATTGATAATCTCTATTTTTTTTTTCCATTTAAAATTTATCTCATAATATTATTTATTTATTCTAAAACTTTATTTTTTAAATAGAAAAGTTAAAATAATAAGACTATATTAAATAATAATTTTTATTAATTAATTAAATTAATAAATCAATAATAATGAAAAACAAACATAATATATTTATTAAAATTAAATTAATTTAATTAATTAATAAAAATTATCCTTTAAAAAAAATATTTAATATAGTCTTATTACTTTAACTTTTTTTAAAAATAGAAAAATAATAAATAGAAATGTTAATAAGCGAATTGTAGTAATAATTAAAAAAAAAAAGTATTAAGAATGAAAAAGTTAAATTTTGGAACCTCATTTAAAATTTATATACATATATGCTTGTTTTTGTTTATGGAAAAATATATAAATATAAATATATATGTTTACAAAGATTTATACATACATAAACCCTTATTGTTTTTAAACCTTAATTTGCTATGTGATTATAATCCTCAAGAATCAAGCGTACTTACCTGCCCTTCCGGACGTAGTTGAATTTTGATGGCTAATTTTTCCTTATTTTTTTCTCCTTTCGACATCAATCTAACCTTCCCTCCTTTGTAGGTTTTGTTGAAAGTTTGTTGGAAGTGTGGCACTGATTAACTCTAAGACTATAACAAATACATGCATTATAATATAATTATAATATTATTTTTTATTGGACAACACATATAATATTATAATAACATCATATAATAATAATAATGTATAGTAGGATCGTACCATAATAACAATATATAATATAATAATAACGATATATAATTTTTTTAAATTTAAAAAAGAAAAAAAAAAAACATGCTTGTACGGAATTCTTATATGCATGACGCAATGGCCATAGTGCGTCACTAGGCTTGTTTTTAATAATATTTTTCACTTTAATATTTACCATTTTAAAAAAAAAAAAAACAAAATCTTTTTTAAATTTTTTTTAAAAAAATGTTCCAACAAATTTAACACTCTATTTTTGGTTGTAAAACAAATATTGACTCATACACCCGACACTACTTTTCCAAAAGTCTAGGGAGTAATTAGTTATAATATATTTGGTAAATTCTATAAGTTGACTTTAAAATGTTTGTCAAGAAACAAAATTTTAAAATGTATGAATTATATTTACGAGTCATTTTGAGTAGTGAATATATCGAAAGGACTAACTACGACATTCCGATAACCAATAGGGTAACGGTGGCTGGTAGCAAAATAAATATATGAGTACATAAATAATTTATACAGTAGAAGAAAAATTATTTATCACAAAATATGATTTTCATATACAATATGAGGTCAATAAGTTAGCTTACAAAATATATACACAAATGTTGTTTTATCCTCTTCTTTTACAAAATGATGGTTCATTAGAGTACAATCGTTTACACACACTCAAATGTCTATTATAAGTATGCGAACAGATCTAAACAAACTTGATAGAGCAGTTCGGGGAGTGACTCCTTACATTCCACATTATCTAAGGGAACAGACTGAGATGAGTTCCATAAAACTCAGTAAATGAAATAGTATTTAAACTACGCTACTAAAGTTTTAAAAGTTATTTATTTTCAAAACGTGTTGTTACCTTCATAATTAGTGACTTATCTTTGGGGACCATTGTAAAATAAGTTCATTGAAAACACCATCCAAAACGTTTTGTAACACCCAAATTTATTATTTTTATTTTTTAATTTATTTTAATTTATATTAGAATTTTAGTTTAATTTTTTAATATTTAATTTATAAGGTTTTAATTTAATTTAATTTAATTTAATAAAAATAATAATAATAATAATGATAAAATATGGTAAAATTATTTTTGGGATTTAATTGAAATTGATTTTGAGAAAAATGGGTAAAAATTTAGATTTTGGGGGTGTTTTTGAAAAGAAAATCAGAAACCGGAGGTCAAAACGTAATTTAGAAAAGTTGTGCCACGTCAGCAGCCCAGTCAACAGCCTTGGCCAACTAGAACATGCCGCGTGCCAAGGAAGCTGACGCAGGACAGAGCCACGTGGGCGATCTGCGTGCACGCGATCGAACGGTCCAGATCTCATGCGTGCGGACGGCCCAGATCTCACGCATGTGGACGACCTAGATTGAATCACGCACGGACGGCCCAGATCGAATCGCGATGGACGGTCCAGATTTATTTCTATTTTAATCGCGATCAAACGGTCCAGATTAAATCGTGATGGACGGCTGAGATTAAAAGGGGAAGGTTATAAATAACCTCACCCACACTCGACCCCAAACCCTAGCCGTCAGTACCCTCGTCGGAGAAGAAGAACCAGTCACTGGAGGAGCCGGCCGCCACCACCCGCCGCCGCACCGGAGGGTTTTTCGACCGCCAAACGAGGTAAATTTTCTCCCCTTGGCTCATTTTTCGATGCTGAATCCGCCTATGGCCAAATCGGAGCCAAACCACCAGCCAATCGATCGGAAAACACCGCCGAAGTCCAGCGACGCCGCCGCAGCTTCCCTCAGTTTTTGCCTCCGATGAGGCCCTTTCCAGTTCCCGTTCGATGCAATTTTTACACCACTGTGATCACCGTCCTTTTCTCTACAGGTTGATCGGAGCAAAATATTAAACCACGACTCGCGCCGGAGAAGCCGCCGCACCCGAGAGCTCCGCCGCCGGTAAGTCTCAGTTTTTTGTGATTTTTTGGCCCACAGAGGGCCCTAGGGTTGTTTTATCGCAGGAACCAATGCAAGTTTGGCCGAATTCGGCCAAAAACGGCCAACCCGTGGCGGATCGCCGCCGCGGGCGGCGGTGCCGTCGCCGGAGCACGGTGGAGCTGTCGTGCCAGAATTCCGATATTGGTCGAAAAGGGGCCCTGGGCCTGATTTGGGGTTTTTTGGGACACGTGCAGGTACCGGTAGTGTATTTCAGTTTCCCAGAGAAAATTTAGGAAATTTAGGGACAACCCGTAGGTGCATTATAGAGCCAATTTCAGACCCCGAAACAAGTAAGAATTTCTCACCCTATTTCCTATCACAGTATTAAAGCTCAATAAATAATAAAACGGCATTTCATGAATTAATACATGTGTACAATTAATTATGGTTACTAATGGAGCCCGAATCTGATGTATTTTTCGGTTAGTTGTTGTTTGATCTATTTTTCAGTTTTAAATGCAGTATGGTATCTGATGTATTTTTTTTATGGTTTTGTATGCATGAATCATGGTTTCATTTATTATGGTTTGAATTATGGTGAACCCGATGTTGTGTTGTTTGTTTGGTGTTCATTACTGGTTTACGTGTTTATGTTTGATTTGATAATTGAGACCAAGAAAAATGGGAAAATGGTTATGTGAATTGATAAATGGATAATGTGGACTGCCTGACTAGATATCCTGGGAGATGGTGGACGGACCAGATCCGTAGGGAACCCTACCAGGAACGTGGTCTCTCATATCGGACGGGGTATGGAGACCTTATGTATTTTAGCGCCTATACCGGACGAGGTATGGGAACAGCCCGTTTCACCCTCATACCGGACGGGATATTGAGGTTTGTGATTTTGGCGCCCATACTGGACGGGGTATTGGGATGGCCCTGGAATCAGGTTATTAATGTTAATAGTTCACGTGTAGTGGGGACCCCTTATGGATCCCCATGGATACTAGTAGGTTGGTAAAAGAGGAAATTTGTTGTCTAATTATTAAAGTGCAAAAGTATGAGATGTGTTATGTTACAAAGCGTATATGATTTTATGATGGTTATAATGTTATTGTTTCCATATGTTATTTTCACGAATCTCACCAAGGTAAGTGGACAGTAAAAGTTTTTATCATTAATAAATGAGTTTGTTATAAATTATGCTCCATTGGTCGTTTTTGTTTTCTACCAACCTTTACTTCTGTGGCAGTGAGATAGTGTGATGTCTTTATTGGGCTAGTGTAGCTCATTCCTTACTTAACCATTTCAGATCAGGAAGACGTGGTTCCCGAGTCCGTTCTGCTAGAAGACGGCAAGTTAGACGCCTAAAGATTTTATAGTTCTATTTATAGTTTTTATTTCGAGTATTTCTTTTAATTAGCTTATTCTTTCATACGTTGAATACGTTTATGGTTATTGTGTAAGAGATGTTAATCAGAATTTTTATTACACTTCCGCCTTTAAAATTTTTAATACATACATCTTCATTTAAATTTCCGGGGCCGTTGCACGTTTACTTTTAATTACTTAAAGTATATTTTGAGTGTTAGTTTTATACACAAGCAATAAAATGAAATAGTGAAAAACATAGCAGAAATGAGTAGAACCAACAGTAGCATGACATGACATAGCAGAACAACGAGAAATATAGCAGAAACTAGTGGAACCAACAATACCATAAGATGAAATAACGGAAGATTGAAAAACATAAGAGAAACTAGTAAAACCAACAATAACATGGCATGATATAACAAAATAGTGAGAAACATATTCAATTCAATAAATAATCTAAACATGGATAATTAAATCAACAATCCTATCTAGACAGTCAAATGATTTAATCCAATCATAGATTTTATAGATTTTCATGCGAAATCGTTTTAATTTATACCAACAGAGGACAGAAGGGATCACTAACTACCACTGTGAATGAAAAATAGTTCAGTTCGATATACGGTAAAATAATTAAAATCTAAT